TCTTCATTTCATACTGTATTTATTCTGGGATCGGAATTCCCGAGTTTTTTATGTTTTTGTTTATGGTCAGCCATGTATGTATGTATGGTTATGTTACATGTTCCGTATGTAGAATGGATGGATGGATGAATGAATGATTGGGCAGAAGTGGATCGAACAAGGAGATAGAAATGAAAGTCTAATAGTGGAGTTTCTGGTACTGTGGCACACTCATTGTATATTGTGGATACTTGTACTCGAGTAGAGAAAGAAAGAAAAGTTTGTAGGCCGATAACGTGGGGGTTATAGATAGTAAAGCGGTGAATTCTGCTTTGGTGGGAAGATGCATATGAGAAGATAGATGCAGATGGGGAGGGATGGGAAGATAGATGGAGAATTGTAATACTGCGTATGCTGAATTGTTGAGATTCCCATATGTGACATGTGATTGACAGATATGCTTGTTTGTATGGGCTTTCCTGAATATCGGAACAATCGGATATTGATATTGATATGGCATTTTGAAATTCAAAACGTCTTCGTCCATTGCTTCCTTTCCTTCAAGTTTCCTTAATTGATACCGATATCTTTGCATATACCTGTAGTACATCTAACTATAGTAGAATAATAGAAAGAATAGTACCGGTACCGTGTATATTTTGAAACCAGTGAAATAAATTTGAATTATATTCCGGGATTCCTTCTACCGTGTCCGTCTCAGGGTTAATGTATTATCTTCACAAGTGATAAGATGAAGAGAGCTGAAACTGCCGCCCAACAATAAGTCAGTACTCGAGTACAAGCTCTGGCTTATGCTCAAGCTCAAGCTCAAGTTGTGTACATATAGCAGGGTAGCAATATAATGTTTTCTATTTTGAGAATTTTGGTCTATCAAACATTTTAACATTTGATTTGATTGACTCGTTCTTTGCGCAGGAATTGAATCGCAGAGAAATTGGATCGTCTTGATTTTCCAACGTTTCCAGTGTTTCCAGTCTCATGATTATGATTATGATTTGATTGGAAAGGATTGACATTATCACTACCGGTACTTGTATATGACAGTACCACTCACTACCTACACCGGTAGGTATATGATTAATGTGCAGTACGACTTACCTACACCGGTAGGTATATGATTAACTTTACTCGTATAGTTACTGTATAGTCTGTGGGTAGAGTTGAATAGAAGTTACTCGAGTAGATTGAGATGAGCATGAATACCGGATGTGCGGATAAGGTAAGGTAAGGAAGGTACTTGGGTAGAAATAATAATAAAAATAATAATATGGTTCTTGTGGCTAAGAATAACAAACGGGATGGAAGATCAATCAATCAATGTATGCATGGACCGTTATGGTATCAAAGAGTTGAAGAAAAGAAAGGAAAGGAAAGAAAAGAAAGAAATGGCATAGAAAAAGAAGTCGGTATGATTGTAAAATCTTTGAATTCAGATTCTTATAGTATTATATTTTGTTGGGATTTAATCTAACCCAGTGAATGAGATTCTATATAATAGATAACGATACGATATAATACAATCAATACACACTCTTGAGTCTTATCATATATATTGTGTAGGAACTATAAGGTAAAGCCACATCTGTCATCTAGTCTGGGTAACTGGTAGCCGGTAAGGTGATAGATGGATAGATGGGATGGATGGTACCATAGATCACAGATCACACAGATCACATATATTCTCTTGGCCTCCAGATCTCTAGAACTCTAGATCTCTCTGGCCTCCATCTACGGAGTACATATTGATCTATCTATTGATCTATTGATGTGAATTGTGATGTGTCCTGCGTGTCAGCTTGCTTGCATCGCATCTACTACTTGAAGGGAACCACCGAGTTTCCACCGATTAATTATAATGGAGATTTCGTAGTTTCGTAGAAGTCGTAGAGGGGTTCGAAAGGGGGCCCAGATCAGAGAGGATGGGAAGTGGAAGCGCCCTGATGAACTTTATAAAGAAGTTCTAGAGGCATAGAGACTTTGGAAGTGGATACCGTAACAGTATCAATAACTCTTGTTGTTTTTAACCCCAGCGGCGAGAGAAGGAAAAGAAGAAAAATAAAATGTGAAAAAGGCTCGGATTTACCGGATTGGTCTTTCCGGCCGTGCAGTCCTTGTACAACGTACTAGGTAGGTAGGTAGGTAGGTATTTATTTATTTTTTGGTGTAACAGTCAGTACCTAGTTGCCCCCTTGATCATTGGTTATTTTCGCTCCCGCTGTGGCTGCATGTAACAGGATTAACAGGATGTAGGTATGTAGGTATGATAGGATAGGGTGGGGGTTGTGAATCTGGTGATTTACCTAGGTGTGTTCTAGAAAGAAGATTGTTGAGATTCTCTGCCTGTTCAGTTGTGTGAATTGATGAAATAAAATAAAACATATAAATGTAACGGTGTAAGATTTTGATAGTCTTTTCATTTTCATTATGGGTACTTGTATCAAATCAATCTAGGTGTTTTGTTTACAGTAATTGTTTCATTCATCGTGATCATCTATCACTATCACAGTAAACAATTTAATTGTATTGGAAGAGTTGAAATCTTTTCATTCACATGTGATATCTATCATATCTTCTCTTCTTACAACCAATAGCCAAGATAGATAGATAGATGAGTGGAGGCTGAATGAACACGAATCAATGATGGCCAAAGCACCGGATAAGTATGTATTTGAAAGCTCAAGCTCAAGTTCGTAAATCGGATTGTAAACAATAATAAAATAATATAACTCGAATAAGATGTGAGAGAGCGTTTGCATGTTCATGCACGAAAGGACTACGTATTAATTACCCTACCTAGTACCTACCCGCCCACTCTCACTACGAGTCTACTTGTATGTACCGCAATTATTATTTATCGATAGATGGCAAACCCGAGAAGTACCATGGAAATCTTCGTATATTTTTATTGGCAACCAAATAATCCATTAAAACAAGCTTTGTGGCTGGTATGCATACAACAAGGTACAGTATTCGATTAATTAAAGAGAACACAAGTCACAAGCAACACACAGACATCTTCTTCTTTCTAGCTTGTTCACCTCGGTCGTCACAATCTATCTATGAGTTACCCACTTACCACGAATTCTACAGAGTGTCCGGAGAGTTACTCATATTAGATTTCCATATTGGGAAATCAATTCATGTTCGAGCCAGCCTTTGAGCCAAGAGGTAAAAGTAAAAGTCTTCATCTCCCAGGAAGTCCCAGCTGAATGGCTCACTCGCTCGCTGCCCAAAATAATACTTCCTTCTTGTATAAACAGTGGATCGTGGATCTCTCTCATTCAATTCGAACGTGGGAAGTTGAAGTGCCCCTATCTATATTTGGTGGGTTATCATCTTTCTTGTCATCCACTTAGCTGCATTACCACTTTTCGGTCTCGAGATTCAAGGAAATCCAACAAGCAAACAGATAAGTGGAGAATACAGTATCAGTCAGTATCCTCTTTTATCTTTTGGAAAAGAAATTGTATCCATCTAGCAACCTCGCCCTTTGATCGCCAGGACTTGGCTTGGTAGCCTCGCTAGGAGAGCGGCGTTGTGGAAGAGAAGAACGCTTATTACTGGGTTATTGGAAAAGATTATTATTATAGGAAATCCTTAAAAAGGAATCCTGGATGAAATCGCATGGTTGGTTATACAAATTCGCATGCACATAGGTACTAGGTAGGTATCTCTTGATAGTCACTTGGTCCTTTCCATCCATGTCAGTACAGTATATACAATTCCTTTGAATCCATTTGGTTTTAGTTCAAAACACATCACGAACATCAATTCATACGTTATTGTCTCAAATGGGTACCGGGGACTCATCAATGGTTACAGGCCATCAAAAACCCACAGACAGAAGATACCATACCCTCCCTGACTCAATTATCAAAGTTTTCGATTCGTGTGTGCCAATTGGGATGTTTGCGAACATTGTTGATACAAGTACCGGTACAGTATAAGTATCGATATTTTGAGAATATCGTGATAAATGTTCAGTTCGTGGGCGGCAAAGCTAGAAGAAACTTTAAAAGACGATCTGCATGGCATGGCATAGCATAGCATGGTAGCATTGTCACTCCGGTAGTGAAAAATTAGTTTCCGGTTCGTTTCTACATGTGAAGATTTCCATATATCAATTCCATTATCCATTATCCATGTCGAGGGAACTTTGAGCTTTGAGGTAAGGTAAGGATAAAGCTTTGGGTTATAGATTTTCTTCATCCATTTCTTTTTTAAAAGAAACAAAATAATTCTGGATTTCTCATGATAAAATATTATTTTATTATTTCTCTTAGTTCAACTCCACTTCCATTATTCTTTCTTTACCCTTTAAGAGATAGTCCGCACCAAGTATGTGCCATACGCATACGAGTAGAGTAGCCTTTCACCTTTCACTAGTGCCTTGAGTCTTTCTAACGTTTATTTTCTCCATTTATCTCTCTCTCTCTCTCACTCTCTTAATCACTCAATCACTCAATCATTCACTCACTCACTCACTCACTCACTCACTCACTCACTCTCTCTCTCTCTCTCTCTCTCTCCGTTTCTCCCTCCTCTCATTCTAAAAGAGTTACCGGTAGACTTCCTATTATCCTTTGTCTTCATTCATTGTTCAACATCTCACCTCTTCTTTTATTATACTTCTTACTCTATTCTTTATCATTGACTCATCAATTATTCATCACAAAGAAACAAGCATTATCTTTGTAATTCTTATCTTTTGGATTCGAGTCCTCGGATCTTTTTATATCTTGTGGCGTGTTACCAAGGATTTTAAGACGGGAAGGTATAACGCAAACCGTTAGCTAGGTTGCATCATAGGTTGAAAGAATCGGTACATACCGATCGCCGAGCTTTAAATCCTTACCAACCAATATATTCAAGATCTCTTCCTCTCTCTCCCGAAAACCATTCTTTATATCGACTTTCATTGCATAGGGGCTATTCGAGGTGGACTTCGAGAAGGGAACAATCAACTCGAGTCGAAAGATCGAAAAATCGACGCATATACAATGTCCGACGAACGTATATCACCGAGCGAAAGCAACAACGAGAACGATTCCAATGTCGAGTACAAGGTATTCGTATCTGCGGATGTCAGTCCATCTGGAAGTGTAAATGAAAGTACAGTCAACAGTGCAATTCCAAGCAGACCGAGCAGTGCAGGAGGAATCCCACCAAAAAATCGAGGAAGGGTTCGATTCAATGCCACAAATGAAGCCAATGATTTGGAGAACAAGAAAACGCTCCACCCATTGAGGGATAAGTCTGTCTCACCTCACAGATTATTACAACAAATCCAATTACCGAAAGCTGCCAAATACACACCATCCCATTCGAGAAATAGCAGTTCTAATTCATTGATGGCATTCACTCCCGATGTGGAAAAGGACAATCCATTTTCGGATTTAGCAGCCATCAACAACAGCCCTGTTACACCACCAGTTAGCAAACCCAGACCGAGCGTACTGAGAAACAACTCGGGTCTAGGATACAAGGCAGACTTATCGGATGTGGAGGAACATAATGAGAAGACTTTCTCTGCTTTGGCTGCTCAAAGTAGAGCTCAGAGAATTGCTTCATTGGTTGGAAGTAACTCCACACCAATCTCAAGAAGAAACAGCTTCGATGACGATGCAGATGATTTTCCATCTCCACGGCCAAGGAATCCCAGCCGTCTCCCTGTTAGAATCGATGACATTCCACTTGTTCCAATGGAAAGCAGACCATATGACGGAGCAGATAGCGATGACGATATTCAGAACGAGAAGCCCAAAGAATCAAGTTCGACCGAAGCACACAAACTCGTAAGATCACACACTGGCAAGGCTCGAAAGGATGCATTCAAGATACCTGTACCACGTCCAGGCTTGGTCTCTGGTCAGGTCACACCCGAAGATGAGCATGCAATTATGGAAGAATATGTTCCACGCCCTCAGCAGTTCAGAGGTGGTGTTCTCTCTTCACTTCTAAAGCTCTATAATGCACCTACCAATGGAGGAATCACGAGCTCGCCGGTCTCAAGAAGAAACAGTTTCGGTTCTGAAGGTACCCTACCAGTTTCCCTCGGATCTTCTGGAGTAACGACTCCGAAGAAAAGTGCAAAATGGTATCATCAAAAGAACCAATCCCAAGATACGCTCGCTGGTCTCATGGAAGCATCCGCAATGTTAGCTGCACCAGCTGGAGGAACTGGTACCCCCAAAAAGAAGTCTGCGAGACCTGGAATGGGAAAACGTACTCATAGTGGCAGACTCATCGAAACCGCTGCCAGACAATTGGCTGGAAGGCCTAGATTGGAGGACGAGATTCGAATCACTATCCATATCGCCGAGACTCTCAGCAGACAAAAATACCTTCTGAAACTCTGTCGAGCGTTGATGACATATGGAGCACCAACACATCGCTTGGAAGAATACATGAAGATGACAGCTCGAGTTCTTGAGATTGATGCACAAGTTCTTTACATGCCTGGCTGTATGATTATCTCCTTTGATGATGCATCGACACATACCACTGAAGTAAAGCTTGTTAGATCTGTTCAAGGTGTTGATCTTGGCAAGTTAAAAGATGTCCATGAGATATACAAGGAGGTAGTGCATGATGTCATTGGTGTTGAAGAAGCCACACAGCGATTGGATGCCATTATTAAAAAGAAGCTAAAGTACCATCCTTGGTTTTTGGTTATCGTATATGGATTTGCAAGTGCTAGCGTAGCACCATTTGCATTCGAAGCACGTCTCATCGACTTACCCATCGCATTTTTACTGGGTTGCCTTCTTGGATTCTTGCAACTCATCGTTGCTCCCAAATCCGATCTTTACGCAAATGTCTTTGAAATTTCCGCCGCAGTCTTGACATCTTTCTTGGCTAGAGCTTTCGGTTCACTCCGAGGAGGTAATCTCTTTTGTTTCTCCGCCCTTGCTCAATCTTCCATCGCTCTCATCCTTCCCGGTTATATGGTTCTTTGTGGTTCGCTTGAGCTCCAATCACGTTCCATGGTCGCTGGTTCGGTACGAATGGTGTACGCAATCATTTACTCTCTCTTCCTTGGATATGGCATCACCATTGGTACTGCCGTCTACGGTCTTATGGACTCAAATGCTACAAGCAAGACCACATGTGACGCACCAATGAATCAATACGTTCGTTGGTGTTTCGTTCCAATATTTACGTTATGCCTAGCAATTATCAATCAGGCCAAGTTCAAGCAAATGCCTGTCATGCTCGCCATCTCGTTCTCAGGATATATCGTGAATTTCTTTTCGGCAAAGAGATTCCCTTCCAGTGCACAGATCTCCAATACTCTCGGTGCTCTCGCTGTTGGTGTTCTTGGGAACCTTTATTCGAGAGTTAGACATGGTGTAGCGGCTGCGGCATTATTACCTGCCATTTTCGTACAAGTTCCTTCTGGTCTCGCTGCGAGTGGTTCTCTCTTAGCAGGTCTGAGTTCAGCGGATTCCCTTACGAATAGTACGTCGTACGCGAATGGAACTGCTAAAGTTAATGGAACAAGTTCGGTCGCCGTCACTAATACTGAAGATTTGAACACGATTGTGTTTAATGTCGGTTATAGTATGATTCAGGTTGCTATTGGAATTACTGTCGGTCTCTTCCTTAGTGCCTTGATTGTTTATCCTTTTGGGAAAAGAAGAAGTGGATTGTTTAGTTTCTAGAGGGGTGGTGTTATATAGATGGAGTATGGAAGGGAAGACGGTATATATGGAAGAGAGGAGTATATAATCATACTCGTACATATATGGACACGCACATAAAGTTGTTCAATTTGTTTGGTAAATGAGATGGGAGGACAGAACATGATATATTTGAGCTAGGAGCTGGATGGGGATAAGCAAGCGATGGTGTTTATGGTTGCTGGTTGCTGGTTGCTGGTTGCGATGATGAAGGGAAGGCGCAATCATTACATTCTTTTGATGAACATGAAAGGGGATGGGAGTTTATCTGTTATTATATTTTTTTTTACGAGCGAGCAGGAGTTTAACATGGCTACTACATTCCTTTACTTTTGGGATGAGATGGATGGGAGGGGACTTCCAACATTATAGATTCGCTTTAGATTTGTTTAGGAGGGAGAAAAATAGATGCGGAATGAATATAATGGGATGGGGGATGATACCACGGAATGAGAAATGGAAAGGAAAATTCTTGTACAAATGTTAGCGTGGGTTTGGGTTTGGGCTTGGGCTTGGTGTATTGGGGTGGGGGTGTGGGTGGGGATGGGTGAGTGGGATGGGTGAGCTGGGTGGAATGGGATGGGGTGGGATGATTGAGATAATGGAATAGATTGAATGGATTGAATGAATGGAATTGAATGGAGATATTGATTTCAGTTTAATTATTGTGATGTGATGTGATGTATGCTGTGTTATGCCTGTATGTGTTTGTGTGAGTTAGCGAGTTAGTGATTCAGTGAATAATTGGTGAGTGACGTGCTATATTTGGTTTCATGGAGTTGTGGGTTGTGGGTTGTGGGTTGTGGGTTGTAAGTTGTAAAGTTGTAAGTTATAGGTAAGTAGTTAGTAATTAGTAAGGAGGGGGGCTGGGGGTGGAGCTGGGGGTGGATTGAGGCTTGAGGCTTGGTGGGTGTGTGAGTTTGTGAGAAGGAGTGGAGGGGAGGGGGGGAGGGGAGGAAATGGAAGTGGGAGGTGGGAGTGAGTAGAAGGGGAAGTTGAAGTGGAAGGGGGTTGGAGTGAGAGGGAAAGTGGGAAGTGAGAGGCGGAGGGGAAAGGAGGAGAGGGGAAAGGAGGAGAGGGGAGGGGAGGGGAGTGAGTGGGAAGGTGTAGAGTGCAGAGTGTAGAGTGTAGAGTGTAGAATGTATTTGACTAATTTTCTAATTTGAGATGGGAGGGGAAGTGAGAGGAGGGGAAGTGGATTGATTCATTGATTGATATATGGTGTGCATGGGTCAGAGGATCAGAGGGGTTGGAGCTTTGGAGCTTTGGGGAGAGGATTGGAGGAGGGAGAAGGAAAGAGGGGAGGAGGAGGAGGGAGATAAGAAGAGGGGTATGGATAATATGATATGTGTAGGTAAGATAAAGTAAGGTAAGATAAGGTAGGAATGATATTTTGGTATACTGTATACTGTACCGGTATGTATCGGGGATTTTTTTAAAGGGGGTGGGGAGTGGGAGGTAATAGGTTAGATGTGCGATGTGTGATTTAGGAGGTGGGATATGGGATATAGGAGGTGGGATGTGGGATACTATAGGAAGTGTATATTGGATGAGCTTGATGCATTTAATGTATTTAATAAATGAGGAACTCACGATTCCTGAGGGATATTTGTTCGTTTATATCAAATTATATAGTATGTTATATATACTGAGTGTATATTTGAGGAATTGCGGATTGGGGGATATAGTATACGATTGGTGTGTGGTGTGTATGTGGTGTGTACTATGTATATACTTAATCAAAAACCATACCATACCATATCATGATTTGAGATACCTACTGTACGAATTAGAGCGGAATACTGAGTAGTAGAATAGTAGAATAGTAGAATACAGGATGGTAGGTATGGTAGGTATTTGCACTGGCAGTTCTCTTTTGGATTTTGGGAATTGGAATGGATTTGGATTTGGATGGGAATATGTACTGCTAGTGAATGGCGGTGGTGGTGAGTAGTGGTGTGATACAATGTGAGTAGCCTGAGTATGAGAGGTGGAAATTGATGATAATGGTGATAATGGTGATGAAGCAAGTTATTGATTTTTTATGTAAGGGTAAATCTCTATATATATGTATAACAATTAGCAGTATAATAAAAGCTCAAGTAATTGTAATTTTTAATTCTAATTTTCCTTCAAAACTTACTCATACAGACTCAAGCAAATTTACAAATTTGTAAAGTTTACTGCTAGGTTAGGTAGGGTTTTTTTTGGATTATTCGAGTTATTCGTATATGGACGGTACTTGTTTATGATGTAAATGTGATGTAATGTACATGTAATTGTAATGTAAGGGTAATGAGAAGGGTTAGGGGATTGTGATAGTGGGTTTGTATGTATAAGTTTGGTGGTGATGAGTTTGGATGATTTTGGAAGAAGGGGAGGGGGTAAGCGAGTAATGCGAATGTAATGTACGAAGGTGGATATGCAAACTCGTTACTGTGTTTTGGAGGGAAACTAATATGATATGATTTTATGGGTTAGGGTTAGAATGAATGAAAAGAAGTTATTGACCTATCTACGGATTGGGAAAATTCTTGGGGTTTTCTCCGATGATAGAGATTGGGGGGAGGGGATAAGATGGAGATAGCGCTGATGATATTTATAGGAGATAGAGGAGACAGGAAAGACGTTAGGTATCAATGTGATGGATGTATCATGTTTAGATAATATCTGGCATATAAATATGATTATTTAGGTAGTACTTGTGTTGCGAAGACCTTAAGTGGTTTTATTGATTGATACATACATCGGATTTCACTTGACTCTGTGATTAAATAGGAAACCAGGGGGAGGGGAAGGATGGAGGGGTTGAATATAAAGAAAGGTTTTAAGTATGAGTAGATGAAATAAGGTTTCAGATGAAGAAGTAAGAAATTACGAATAATGAAATAGTAATTGGAAAGGAAAGGAAAGTTCAGACGAGGATGAGAACTCGAAGGAAGATATAGATGAATATGAATATGAAGATGAACTAAATAAATTTAGAAAAACAGATTTCCAAGGATGTAGATATATATATAAAGACTGTGAAAGTTAGCTGGCGAGAAGATGAAATGTATCGATTGAAAATTATGTGTTACTAGGTTGATCATAAGATGATTTGATAGCTTTACCTGTAGCTAAGAGCATAAGGTTACTCAGTTGACAGTAGCTACCTAATAGCTCAACCATATCCAAGTTATCTTTTGACTTCCCGTTATGATCCTCATCATCCTCATCGAGTAAGAAACCTAATTCTGTGGCCATTATCTAATACCCGTTTCATCTCAGCTTTCTTTCATTTGACTTCCATCTCATATTTCACTGGACCGACTCGGTATTACATCAATACCAGACTAGACAGTGTGCTCATTATACCGCGATTCACTAGCATCTAAATTAACTCCAATACCGTCGCTACTATCTGAAAGCAACTCAAGCTCCTTTATAACTACCATTAATTCCTCTTTTTCTAGCAAAAAATGATCCGAAAATCCAGCCCGTGATACTAAGTATGCAACTTTTTCTTTTCCCACTTCTTTTTGTGATAGTTCCTCTGCTTATTCACATGTATCTGCTCATCGGGTAATGAAGCGTTGCAACATCATATTAACCATATTTACCAAACCGATAAGATAGCCTAGCTAAGAACCTTTTGACTACAAGTCTTTTACAAACATTCCTCAAATAGCTCGACTTCCTCTCACTACCCCCCAATCTTCACCAGAAATCTTGCTTTACAGCTCTGACTGAGTTACTTGCCCTTGCACGTCCTGGGTGACAGAACCACCTTTTATCGTGATAAAATCTCATCAACCAATCTTCCAATTTCCACCACGCTGATATCTTGCGTGAAGACTACGCTTCTGTATCCTCGTATAGAAAAGAGACAAGTCCCTGTTTTTCTATGAGCAGTTTCACCTCGAGATCCTAGTTTATTTCCAGCTGCAAGTATCGTTTCGAATATTTTGACTGAGAGCCTCGCTATATACTCCAAACCATCAAATTCACATTGATAGTACGGAAGACCAGTAAAGATATCTAGTACCTTAGCTAGATAATCATTTGTTATACCATCTTTTAGTCTTGGTCGAATTTGGGAGAGATAGACGTTGAGGTATAAGGGTATGTGAACCATATTTCGACGCTCGGAGGCCAATTCACAGGTGTTCCGGTTATCTCATTTGGTTTTAAGCCCACAGTCAACTATACTGAAAATTTTCAACTTGGAGACGCTGTAGATCTGCTCTTCTCCACCCACATCTGTGGTTACCATGACCGACTTACCTTAAATAACGGTCTCTTGAGCAAAACGTTGGACTAACGGGTGAATCGAGAATATCTCTCCATTGGCGATATGTGAGCGTTTGCATTTGCGTTTCATGAGCGCGCATATGACTAGATTATCGAGTACATCATCCAATTACCCCTCTTCTAGATACATTATTGCCGGGTCAGTACTCTGATTTTGCATCCATAGTCGAGGTCTAGCCACTGAAGTGGGTGATATTGAAAGAACAAATTTGTGGTAAATTGTTCGCAAGTGGACTTGATTCCATAAAAGCTCAAACATACCTTTCCCAGCATAAAAATACACCGGTAATATAATATGGGAATCTCCTGCTAATATAGACATTCAAGTCTCTTTTTGGTATTTTTGAATAACTCCACAAACTCCACACAGAGATTTGTTTTCATAAGAGCAGCAGCTTGACACAAGCACCATCTACTCAGCAACTTGAAGCAGAACAGTGGGCAAGGAACTCATATAAAAAGCTCCATACCCAATTGATACCTTATAGGGAACTACCGGGAAGGATTTAAAGGAGGAAAAAGCGAAGTGACTATACATTTCCAAAGCTAATCCGGGCAACCCCTTTCAAACAGCGATCACATGTATCTATGCCAGTATGTAAATGGAGCATGGAAGAATCAATGGGGTAGGAGTCCATGAAACTGCTGACACAGACATCATATATCCGAGTCCCTGAGCATGAGATACCACATCCGAGAAAGTTTATGCGTGAAAGCATGGGTATCAATTCTTCTTTCGTTTGCACCTGCATCTGCATCTACTCCGTATGGATATTCGCCGGCTTGATCTGACCTTGCGAACCTCGTCCTGCGTCGATCCATTCCAGCTTTTATATCAATCATTCATGCCGGCGCCCCTCTCAACCTCAACAACCCCCCTAATTCTTTATCCCCCTATAAATCTCCCTCAAATCCATACCCTCAATCTCCCCCTCCGCCATCTCCCCCACAACCCTCCCAGGAATCCCTCCAACCACACTAAAACTCGGTATCACCATCCCGGCCGGCACCACCGTTCCATCTAAAATCTTCACAAAATCCTTCACAATAACAAACTTTCCCACCACAACATTCGCACCAATATGAACATGATTCCCCAGCATCGCTGCTTCGATTATTGAGCCGGGCCCCGCATATACATGATCGCCAATTTTGAGAGGGAAGTATGAGAATGTTCTGTGATAATCCCAAAAAGTATCAGTAAAACAACCTCTAGATAGGAATTTGGATGGAAATATGAGAAGATAAAAGAAAACAAACCCTCTATAAATCTTCCCCGGAGGCCTCAACTGAGCCCCCCGACTTATAAAACAATATCTCCCAATCGCAACCGCAACCGGATTTCCCGGCTTCTCCCCCGTACTACTCGGAGGCAACGTTCTTAATAAATCCCCTCTGATGATAACCTCGGATTGAATAACCGTTTTTCCTCCTAGGATGATATTCGTTGTGCCGATGATTTGTGAACGACGGGATACTTTATTTCCTGTGTCCTGGAGTGAGAAGGGTTAGTTTGTTTTTTTGATTATGGTTTGGGGGTATGATTTTAAGAAACCGAGGATAGGATGAGCAAAGACTTACGGTTTCGATGTATTCGCCCTTTGGCGCTTTTCGGGACATTGTGGTTACATGGCAAGAAGTAGATGGGATTGAGGTTGTCGCGTTTGGATCTCATATTAAAGTCGAGGGGCAGAATTACTAAGGCGGTGAGATATTCATTAATGAGGAGATTCCCCGCATTATAGACGGATCGATCCATGGAAAGCCGACTATGACAGTACAAGTATAAGACAGACCTCTTCCTCGTCACCCAAATGATCTTTGAAATGGTCTAAGACATATAGTTTGATCTTGACATTCATTTTTCTATTACTTATCATTTATCTTTCACTTTTCTCCTTCCCTTCCCTTCAACTTTCTCCCTACCTCCTCACCTCCTCACCTCCTCACCTCCTCACCTCCTCACTTCCAATATGTCTGTTTGGAATCTTAGGATCATTCTTGATACAATGGCAGCGAGCGATGAGGTAACTTGGCAGTCCCATTCCATGCCCATCGATATAATTCGCCCGGACTAGTACTAATACCTATCAGCTTTTTTTCTTATATTGCCTCAAACAACTGACAAAGATGTTAACAGCCCATTGTGTGAGCTTTTTTCGAGCTGAGAATCTTTTTCAAATACTCCCTCACTTGTTACCTTCCATGGTAGACCAGCATGCTTTACAAACTCTACCGCCAATTCCCAAGCATCTGCATCTGCAGCATCTCCAGACTCAAAGGTTTTGAGATATTTGTAATTTCTAGGTTCTGGATTGCTGAGCTTTTCTCGTAATAACTTAGCATAGCAATCATTTCTCTCCATCCAAAGATCCTCAATCTGAATTTCTCTTATTGACTCTTCCTCCTGTAGAATATTATTACGTGGTACCAGTTGGCAGTACAAATGATCTAATCTCGGCAGTTGTCTAACAAGAGATTGAAAGTGAGATGACATTGGGAATATCGCTATATACTCCATAGAACGGATACCAGAGTTGATCAGAGAATCCGGGACATCATCTCCAAGAAGATTTTGTAGTATCTATTGAAAATGAGATGACTACCATAAAATTGAAGGGGTGAATATACTCACAGAAGGAGTGACCACTCCCCACAATGGACGCGATTTGTAGGCTTCTAAATTAGACCCTTCATTGAGAAGTAAAGAGGACCAAGGTCTAATGTGGAAGATCTCGGAGGACATGGCATAATTTTGTAGATCACCAAGCTTCCTGTAGTGTACATGGGAACAGTCTGTGTGTTCATCATAGTCTGTGTGCTCATCTGCGGGTCTTTGCAATCGTAGATAGTGGCATTCGATTTCAAAAAACTTTAGGTCCCTCGGTTTGATGACGGCTGAAGTCAACGAAGCAAGAGCCTCGACAGGGGCAGCGATCAAAATAGTCGAGGGGTTAATCGTTTGAAAGAGTCCTTGCCAAAAACGATCGAATTCGCCAAGTCGAGGTCTTCCATCTAAGCAATTCGATATCTTCTTCTCCCGGACCACCAATGTAAAGCTTGAAATAATGTCCGCGAGAGATTGGGTATGAATGAATTGAAGGAAGGGTCCAATTAGATCATTGAGAATTGGTCGAGAATCATCTTCTGAATATTTCAAGATATATCGTGTATATTTGAAAAGTAAAGGTAAGGTTGCTTGTCGCCATCGTTTCGAAATTACAGAGCAATCCTTGAGGTCTCGAATAGAGGAATTGGTTACATTCAAGGTTGGTTGATCGTGAAGTATTGTGTGAGAAGATGATGGAGCTTCTGAATCCAAATGGCTGAAGATATCAACTAAGAGTTCATTCGGAAGATCTTCGATTGTGGTGGGACCTGTCTTCGTGACAGCTAGGGGGATTGTATGTGGAGTAATGTGGGATGTTGGGGGGTTCTCCATTTGAGTTGTCTGAGATTGAGATGAGGATATATCTGCAGTTTGTATGTCAATCGTGGGAGCCTCGAGAGTGCTCAAATTTGAAGGAGGAAGCTCGGAAGTCATTTTTTGTAGACTTCGAGGTTGAAAGGATGAAAACTTATGATGTATGTAGGTAGTAGGTAGGTAGGTTATGGATGTCTCGGATCACCGAAGTAACTAGTAACTACTAACTACTACCACCTGGAAAGGAAATATATGTCGTCAGCAGAATCAGATTTTGATAAAAAGTTGGTACGAAAGTAGAAGGCGAGAAAGATATCATCTGCATACAATACCCTCAATTGAGTTAATTTGAAGTCCTACGTATTTCCCTATTTCCCTTCAGTTTTACTATCGTGGGATTGTATCAAATATACAAGTAATGGTTATGACGCGGTGATTCAACATGGTGTGTCGGTACTCTAAATAACGTGACTGTACAATCAAGAGAAATATTGTTCATCCACCATTTTTAAACACCAAGGCTAAATCTTTAGTAAGATATCACCAAGCGGGAGACTATGATACATTGTATGAAGATCTACAAGTATCACGAGGATGGCTAAGAGCTGGAGAGGGGCATAATAGAAAGCTGTCGCGGCTCTTCATACAGCTACCTACTTGAGGAGACATATAACAACAGCTTATTTACCTTCCAGCTAATTGTGATACAATTCCTATCATAATTCACGTTCTCAAGCCATCTCATTTACTCACTTTGATCAATTTCTCTGTTTTAAAAAAAAAACATGTCTTCGAAGCTTCATCGAAGTCCCCCTTTCCGAGCAGAACATCTCGGATCTTTACTCCGCCCAGAGCAACTTCTTTCGATAAAACATGCGCTTGACAATGGGAAGAACGATGTTAAGAAGCAAGATCTGACAACAGTCGAAGACAAATCAGTCGATGAGATAATTCGGGTCCAACTTGACTTGGGTTTTCACGCTGTAACGGATGGAGAATATCGTCGTCATATGTTCTGGTAATTCTCACTATGCGGTCCGGCAGGATCACCGAACAGGTTGAAGGAAAGCATGCTAAACATTTATTTAATAGGGGTACATTCTTCCCTGGATTAGATGGATTTCAAGAAGTGCAAAATCCCGACATAGAGTCTTTCCGCCGCTACGTTCCCGACATCGATGCATTCCTCGAAGAAGGTCACAAACCCGGTGAATCTGTCTACTGCACAGGCAAAATAAAACACGTCGGTAGCACATATATCGATCAATGGAACTATCTCAAGAATCTCCTACCAGCCGACAAAGTCAAAGAAGCAAAAATTACCCTCGCGGCTCCAAATTGGTATCATCTTCGTTACAAGACTGGTCACGCATATCCAAAAGATGTATATCCCACAGACGCCGAATATTTCACCGACATAGCAAAAGCCTATCGTGAGGAATTGCGGATTCTATACGAGGCTGGACTCAGAAATATACAAATCGATGATCCAAATTTAGCATACTTTTGTTCGGAGAAAATGCTCGCGGGATTCAAGAAAGATGGGGAGGACTCCGATGCTCTCTTCGATTCATACATCAGGTTATACAACGATTGTCTGAGCAGTCGTCCAGAAGACTTGCACGTAGGAGTCCATCTCTGTCGAGGAAATTTCGCAGGCGGTCGTCACTTTTCCGAGGGGGGGTATGATGCTATTGCTACGAAACTATTCAAAGATCTAAATGTCAATACATATTACCTCGAATACGACACAGCGCGAGCCGGTGGCTTCGAACCTCTTGCTCATCTACCCAAGGACAAGAATGTCATCTTGGGACTGATCACGAGCAAATTCCCAAAATTGGAAAATCTCGATGAGTTGAAGGAGAAGGTTATGAAAGCAGCCGATAAGATTGCAGAAGGGAATGGGGAAATCAGGGAAGAGAGTTTGAAGAGGATGGGAGTTTCTCCTCAGTGTGGTTTCGCTAGTCATTCGGATGGGAATAATATGGCGAGGGAGGATATGATTGAGAAGTTGAAGTTGGTGAGGAGATTGGCGGATGAGGTGTGGCCTGGGGAGGCATGAGGGGATTTGTGTAAATGGCTTGAGGGTATAGACTGATTATGGTGGGATGGTTGTGCATAATCAGGCATGTTTGGATTTTGAGACGAGAGTATATTAGTGTATGGATACCTGGTTAAATGTCTTTCTTTAATGAACTATACATGATTTGCGATAGTTTGAACTGCAGTCCAATCATGAGATATTCTCGGTTCGTTGAGTCTATTTAAACTCTGAATCTATTTGTTATGTTAACTCCAATCAGTTATTGACTCGTGCAACACTGCGCACATCTAGTTCTTCGATATTAATGTGCTGCTCCATCAGCCGGTCGAGCATGTAACAACGACTTATAGCTCTAGTCTAAGAAAGCGATCTACCTCCTCGCTTACACACCAAAAAGTGCCTTTCTCGTATCATAAGTATACTTCAAATCCAAATGCCAATAATTCGGCGCATCCCCCTTACAAACGCCCCACGCCTCATCCAAAACCTTCACCACCTCCTCGGGTAAAGGACCCTTTTCACAATCCTTCAGATTCGCATCTAATTGCTCAACACTACTCACTCCCATGATGATCCCATCATTCCCATCTAATACGTCCAGCGCACTATGATGTACACACCATCTAAAAGCCGTCTCCACCATTGTCAGACCATGTTTTAGAACCACGGGTTCAATCATTTTCAGCGCGGAGAACGTCGATTCTTTCCAATATCGCTTCCGATACATCTCGCCCAGTTTTCCGACCGCGTCGCTGTAGCGGCCGCTAGTAGGTATCTCGGAGGAATGGTAGGCGCCCGAGAAGAGACCACCGGCGATAGGGTTGTAGATTACGATGGAGAGGCCGTAGCGTTTGCAGCAGGGGATGAGCTCAGAGGCGAGGGATCGCGTTATGGCGTTATACATTCCTTGGTAGATGGTGGGGCGTACCCAGTGATTGTATTTGCAGTGCATGACTATTTCGGATACTTCGAAGGCGGTGAAGTTGGAGAGGCCGAGTTGGACGAATTTACCTCTGAGGTCGAGGTTAGTGGGTGTATATACAGTACTTATATTCGAGACAATATGGCAGATGATGTTCTTTAGGTCCTTCTCCCCTAAAGAGAAACCCAGAAACCATTGGCTTTTGTATTGCAAGGAGTATGTACGAACTGTTTATAAAGTTTGTCGAGCGCTGCCAACGTCTCTGTAAACGGCGTGGAGCGATCCGCAGCATGCAGATAAAATATATCCACACAATCGGTCCCCAACTCCTTCAAACTAGTCTCGAATCTACTCGTCAACTCGGCCTCGGTATGCCACCCCGCCTCAGACGGATAAACCTTCGTTGCCAACGTCAAACCCCTCTCTTGCCATTTCGCTTCCCGCGTGAACGCTTCTTGTTTTCCTCCTACATATGCGCGAGCTGTGTCGACTTCGTTATAGCCGGCGCCTTGGAAGTGATCGAGAATAGTGCTGTATTCGTCTAGGGAGGTTATGCGGGCCCCGGTGGTGGTGTCGGGACCAAAGTTCATGAGACCGAGAATGATTCGGGGTTTGGGGGAGGTGGCTATGAGAGGCATTCTGTATTGTTTTGGGGGTTGTTATTGTTGTATTCTGGGTCACGATATCAAGGTAATGTTAAAGAAGTGAAGTGAAGTTATAGATTTAAAATTCAAACAAAATGTCAACATTCATGTCGTGAAACTTGACTTTAGTGACGCCATCTTGCTGAACCCCGCATTAACCCCCCTTTTCCCCGCCTTCACAGCAAGCAGATAGGTATGTACTGGGCTGCATACACCTCTCTACAGGGTAATTAATTGTAATGCCGACCTATGTTTGTGATACATTTGCATAGATACTGTATTAATGAACTTTATTGGATTTAAAGTCAGGGTCAAGAATTGTTGGTACAGACAGCTGTGCTATATAGGACGCATGCAATATCATTAAATGAATTTTAGATGAAGTCGGAAAACTTTCTTTGATTAATGAGGCGCTGGTTATGCTTTCTTCTTTCTACTCCAGCGTTTTTCTGTGGTAACTCTGAAAGAAACTCAATGAAATTACTCGTATAATGGAATTCATCGGTAGCAGAAAGTGTGAAAGTTACAATGGAAATATCTAACACACCTACCTACCTAGTAGTCCTCTACTTCATACATCTCTCGAAATTCCTAAAACAACACCCGACGACATCACCTAACAACTGTCTTACATCTCACATATATATCTTAATCACTTCCTTTTATACAAATTGAATCCGAGTAACCACCCTTCTTCTTCTACCTCTACCCTCTACCTACACCTACGATATAAACAACCTACCAATACCGATATTAAATACCGTTACGACCTAAAAATAAATGCAAGATTTGAGATCTTTTGGTAACGAGCACCACATTAATCAACCAGCAGATTCGATTAATTCAGGTCGTTTGATTCGTTCCCGTGGGGAAATATCTTTCTGATTCATCCAGATTTCAGATTTCAGTTTCAGTTTCTAGGGTTCTAAGGCTCTAAAGTCTAGGGTCTCAAATTACAAGGGGCTTCATTGGGGGCTTCACTGGGGCTAAATATGACGACAATCAATTGATTGGATCTTCCTCACAACCAACTTTTATCATTCATGCACACAATTATCTAGCCTCTACTCTAGGTCATCGAACGAAACGACAGTAAAAGATTATTTATTATACCCACCAAGTCAGCCTTGATTCGATTATTCACTATATTCAAATCTAAATTGATTACTCCGATATCAATCACCTTCCTTTACCTCTACAATTCTTCCGAATCGCATGTATGTCTCATAGGAATCACCAGACATCTTCGAATACACATGAACTACATCCAATCACTGAAGTACAAACCGACTCGTGGAAAACCTCGAATCCTATATCGAGAAATTCTTCAAGGTTATCCTCTCAAAGTCCTCCCATCCGGACTCACGACTTCGCACATAATACACAAGAAGGAGAGGTGTCATCAATTAGTCCATTGACGAACGAACAAGAAGATTTCGATTCCAATTCCGATTTTGACGACGATATGGAAGGTAGAAGACCTCCATTGCATCGCCCAACAGATGGGCGTTCACATCAACCGTTACTACACAAAAACGATGATACTGAGAGAGGGAGGCCAGGATATGATGCTTCTCCAGATCCACCAGAACGTCCTACGTTCTCAAGACGATCAACAATGCGAAGTCGAAGTCCGGATACTCAAGCAAAATTGGCCACCAAAAAGAAATATACATATGCAGCCTTCTTTTTGGGCTTGAGTTTGATTAGTTTCGTTATACAAACAGAAACTGCCGTGTATATACAACATCAGTTGGGGTGGAATAAAGCATACTGCATGTTGTAAGTGGCGGTATCTATCATCGGAGTACCCCTACGAAACTAATATCGACTTTAGATACTTTACTCACGGATCTTGGTCATTGTTATGGCCAACTCAACTCTTAATATTACGATTACAAAAATGGAAAATGCCATGGAAAACTTTCTGGAGAAGACACGTTTATCTTATTCGAACCACTGCACAGATGGTGGAGACTGGAGAATTAGACATCCCAAGAGGGCAACGATCCCCGATTCCATATATGCTCAAAATGACTGCTTTCGTTACATGTGCACTTACGGTCGCTGGTGGATCTTGGTACATGGCGGTTAATTTAACATCACCGTCCGATCTCACGGCTATCTACAATTGTTCGGCATTCTTCGCGTATGCCTTCAGCGTACCTCTTTTGAAAGAACCTCTTCGATGGGATAAATCTTTTGCCGTTATGGTCGCTATCATAGGCGTTTTGGTTGTCGCATATGGTGATTCCACACCAACGAAACATGGAGGCAAATCCGGTGGTTCAGTTGGTGGGAAACCAGGTGATGAAGACGATGAGGCTTCGAATCGAGTCCTGGGAAATCTTGTCATTGGTGTTGGTAGTGTTCTTTACGGATTTTACGAAGTCTTATATAAGAAATTAGCATGTCCACCCGAAGGAACAAGTCCTGGTCGAGGCATGATTTTTGCTAATACTTTCGGATCTCTCATCGGTTCTTTTACCCTTTTGGTCTTATGGATTCCACTGCCCATTCTACATTTTACCGGTCTTGAGAGTTTTGAACTTCCACATGGAGAAGCTGCCTGGATGTTGGCAATCTCAGTCCTTGCCAATGCAACATTCTCCGGAAGTTTCTTGGTTCTCATCAGTCTTACCAGTCCTGTCTTAAGTAGTGTCGCTGCTCTTTTGACCATTTTCCTTGTCGCTATAGTTGATTGGGCATTTACGGGTATACCTTTGAAGCCGGCAGCTATTGCAGGTGGTATATTGATCATTGTAGCTTTCCTATTGTTAAGTTATAGTACATTCAGAGAGATGCAAGAGGAGAGAAGAAAACGGGAGATAGATTTGAGTGATCACGATTCGGACAGCGATAAGTTCGATGATTAGACGTTCACTCTTAGACTGGCGGTATATTCATATGCGATTGGTTTGATTCAATCCAATCATTGCTTTCTTGTTTTTTTTTATGTATTTGGATTAGGGTATTAGCCGTATGGCTTAGGTTCATTGCATCTAGATGGCGCTGGCGTTTTGGATACCTATCAATGGAGACTTGCCAGGATTTTAGATTTTATCCCACCATTCAAGACGCTGCATGCAACCTTTTTATTGTGATCAGAATGAATCTCACATTATTTATCTCAATTCTTGCATCCAATCAAACTCATGAAAAATCATAACAATCGATATCCAGAAATAACTTTCCCCCCTCCAGTCCGAACCATGTAAGAGCATCGCTAAAGTCGGATACTTCGGTTAGACTTCGGTCCCAAGCCAAACGCGTTTCGCGTTATTAAGGCCATCGTCGCGTCTTCCACAATCAATTTCTCCAGACTCAATCTCTCAACAACAGCTTGCGAATCATTACCGAACATCAAAATCAATTGCAACTGATAATTCAGGCCAAAAATTCTGTGATAGCCTCAAGATTGATCTGCGTGTCAGGATATTTGCTTGACTGAGGCAATAATTGACTTATTACCTCCTTGCTCGCACATCGTACACTCACAAACCCCTCCATTTAACAGGGTATCCCTTCGGGTGCAATATGGTCAATATCGCTAAGCCTGGACCTGGGATCTATTCTGCTACTTATAGTAATGTGTGTATACCTACTTGGATATGATGACTTCTATCTACTTGGTTCTTATTGCTGATGCGAGGGTTAGGTCCCTGTGTATGAGTATTTGTTCGGAGAGGCTCTCAAGGAACATGGTAAACAGAACCACTCTCCCTACTTCTAAGCAACTTCGCTGAATTTAATACAGTAATGCGAAGACGACATGATGATTGGATTAATGCGACACATATATTAAAAGCAGCTGGATTCGATAAACCTGCTAGAACGAGAATTCTCGAAAGAGAGGTTCAAAAGGAAGAACATGAGAAGATACAAGGTGGATATGGAAAATATCAAGGTACTCACACATTTGGGAATATAGACAATCGGTTGGACTAATGGGTCGTAGGTACTTGGGTTCCTCTCGAGAAAGGTCAAGCTTTGGCGCAAAGAAACAATATCTATGAGAAACTTCGTGCGATTTTCGAATATACCCCTGGTGAACTCAGTCCTCCTCCAGCACCAAAGCATGCGACAAATAAGCCAAAGGTTAAGAAACCAGCGGTGCCTAAATGGGGAGCAAGTGAGTCTTGTCTTTTCCTTTTTGGTAGATAAGTCCTGACAGAATAGAACCAGTGCCAATTCAACAAGCTGCAGTAGCTCGTCAAGTCGAAGAAAAATACGAGAATATCAGCACTCAAGTAAATGACGAGGAAATTGTCCCAGATGATGTCACAGTTGCTTCCGCTTCTTATATCGCCGAATCTGATCGATTCGATATGTCGCAACCACCTACCGGTCATCGAAAGCGCAAAAGAGATCGTGAGAGGGATGATCTTCAACAAGAAGATGCTGTGGACATTCGAGCACAAGCTCATCTTATGTGGGCAGACGAACTTCTAGATTACTTCATGGCACCTCCCACCGATGCGAATTCGATGGACAGAAGGCCGGAACCGCCGGTAAATTTCGAACCCGACTTCATTATTGATACAGATGGTCATACCGGTTTACATTGGGCTGCATCAATAGGTGATGTCGATATTTTGAAGCAATTGAAGAGATTTGGAGCAAACCTTGTCTGTCGAAATAGCCGTCAAGAAACACCCCTGATACGATCAGTTCTTTTCACGAATTCCTATGACAAGCAAAACTTTCCCCTGATCGTCAAGGAATTGATCAATACTGCGCATGAAGTCGATTCATGTGGAGCTACAGTCCTTCATCATGCAGCGGCGACAACTAATATGAAACAAAAGTTCAGATGCGCTCAATACTATCTGGATGTTCTTCTAGAAAAGCTTATTGAAATCTTTCACCCAGACGAGGTTCAAAGATTGCTGGATGCCCGAGATATTAATGGAAATACAGCAATTCATATCGCTGCCAAGAACAAAGCAAGAAAGTGTGTACGAGCTTTAATGGGTCGTGGTGCTGCAACAGATATTCCAAATGATATTGGCGAAACAGCCGAAGAAATAATCCAAGATTTAAACGCCTCTCGCAGATCCGAAAGACATCAACAAGCCGCATCCTCTTCACCTTTTGCTCCAGACTCTACCCGCCATATTTCTCATTACGATGCTCTTGAAGAAGAAAACTCACGAGGCGTAGCGCATATCTCCGAAGCTGCAATCAGTCTTAAGAACAATGCGGAACCGGTTCTACTAGAGAGATTACATGCGTTAGCATGTAGTTTCGATGAGGAATTGGCGGAAAAAGAAAATGCCGAGGCGGATAGTAAGAGGATTTTAGAAGGGGTAAGGATGGAATTGGCGGGAGTGCGAGAACAGGCTAGATTGCTAGTTGAGGAAGAAGAGGGTGAGGAAAATGTTATTGCGGCAAAGGCGCATCTGGTGGGTTTGCAAGAGAGAGTTCAAAGTTTGGTAGAGAGACAACAACAACTTCTTTTGCTTTCACGCACAAAACATGAAGGTTCGGTAATCAACGGTCATGGAGGTGGAAAAGTTAATGGCATTGGAAATAGTATTGGAGAAGAAGGAGAAGATGAGAGAATCCAATTAGCGCAACAATTACACGAAGAAACACAGAGAAGAAAGGGATTGGTGGGAGAATATATTGGAGCGCTGGGCGTAGCTGGTGGTGGGGATGAAGGAGAATTGTATAAGAGGGTTATTGTGAAGGATTTGGGAATGTATGAGGGTAAGGGGGGATTGAGTGATGAGGGTTTGGATGCATTAATTGCGAATTTGGAAGAAGAGAGGGGGGGTGTGGGTTTGGAGAGGGAGGTCGGTGATGAATTATAGTTGTAGTTTGGGATGGGATGGGGATGGATTTTGGAATTGGGATTGGAATTGGAATTGGAATTGGAACCGGGAGTTTAACATGTTTTGGTAAAGGCTTTTGTGGGCGTTTGGGCTCGGCGAGGGAAGGGAAGGATGGATAATGAAATTATATGAACTGTTCAGGAATACTATTTACATATCTACTATCTACTATCTACTGGCCGTATTGCAATGGATAGATGAGTGGATAAGGGAACTTGATAGCGTTGGTTTATTACCTGCCGGCTTTTTTTTTTAGGAATTTCTTAGAGTAAAGTATTTGGTATTGGTATTGATATTGGTATGTGTGATGGTACTGAGTCTGGTGATGGGTGTATATATCAGAACAATATACCAACTAATATGAGGTTATCTTATCTTATCTGATAAGTTGTCTTATTGAGGAAAGCGAATGGGGTAGAGGAACTGAGATGTGGTGGGGGGGGGAAGGGTGGAGATGTGATGTGATGAGATAGGATATGAAATGTTATGGTGTGAATGGGGTGAATAGGGTGAATAGATAAGGCCTTGTTTGGCTCAGTAGTGTGAGTTTTCACATTTATCAAAAATGGAGTGTGCACATAGATTCCTATTGCTAAAAATATCACTTTTTTAAAATACAAGCCTTTATTTGGTTCACATAATATTTTTTATATATATACTATATAATAATCTGTAGATCCTTTTTGATTGAACTACAAATCTGTTTTATAATATTAACAACTATTTTGCAATTATATTATCTAAATCCGCTATTAAAACAATGCTTATCTCTATCAGAGCTTCTTATACCCCTAATACAAAATAGATTCCTGAAAAGATCACTTCTCTTATAGTTTAATTCAAAACTGTTAAATTGGATGGCAATACCTCTGATAATAATTTTAAAACTTCTGTTTAGATTGCTATCGTTCAATTCTTTGAAGATTCTAACAAAAAGCATAATAAACTTGCTGAATTCAAATAGGGATATATAAAAATTGATTTTAAAGAAATCAAATGATTTATAGAGGAGGTATTTGGTTTTAGTTAGAATAAGGAGAATTATATAATTATTATTAAACCAATTGTTTGGGTTGGAATCGGAGAGGTCTATTCTTTTGATTATTATATAATAATATTATAACTGATTTTGATATTAAAAGTATCTAAACAAGTTCAAATAGTGTATAATCTCTTTTTTGTATTATAAAGATATGATTATTATACTTGGGGAATCATTTGTTATAGGAATGTATAGATAATATAGAGATATAGAATCTGATGATAAAATAGAGGAAGGTAACGAAAATATTGATTTTGTTATTGATAAATCTTTAGATAATCTTGATCCAATATTATTTGTTGATTTAGTTCTTAATTCTTTTGAAAATATTATCAATATCAACAATACTCCAGAGTCCGATGATTTATTTGCTAATTGTGACCAAAAGGGTATAAACAGGACTCCGATTGTGTACTTAGAATCTACAAGTGAAGAGCTATGTAGGATGCTAAAAGGAGGACTATATATACAGGTATTGGGAGCCATAAGGGCTAGGCCAAAAAGGGTGAAAGAGTCCTAGGCGTAAGATGCCTAGGTCTAGAGCTATAGAGCTAGGGCTCTAAGCTGTGAAAGGAAGGTCCAAAAGAGCCGTCATATCATACTATGTATGTAGTATGAGCCAGTGGGCGGAAGAGAGCCGTCTGTTCCGTCACACTGATAATGAAATAAAAATATAAATTTTATTGATAATTTTAATACAATCCTTGAAATATAGAAAATACTTCGAGTTTTAGAATATCTTGAAGTATAAAGATATAAAGATAATAAAAGATTATATAATAGATTAATAAAATATAAAAGAAAGAAAATATCTCATAACTTTATAATAGATTTTATCCATAATCTAAGTACTTTATTAAAATCGTTTTATAAGCCGGTATATTGAAAAATTAATAATAATTATATAAAAGAATATATTAAATTATTTTTTAATAGATATATATCAAATATTTGTTATATCTACTATTTTGATCAATTAATCTTTTAATAATAGAAATCCAGTTTGGAAAATCTCTAGATTATTTTTGATTCTTTTAGAATATTTAAAGATTAATTTGTATATTTATTAAATATCAGATATTTTGGAAATATATTATAAACATTTATAAAAGTTATATTTATAATAAATAACGATTATAATTGCAAATAATAATGAAATTATTATTAGAGGCTTTTTATTATGTTTTTTCCTTTTTTTCAATAATGGCAAGATTATGATTATAAGGTTAAATCAAATTACTAGATGATATTAGGGAACTAAAATAGATAGACTAACG